CCCCGCCGCTACTTCCATCTGCCTCTTTGGCTTCCCCTCCTTCTTGTGGCGGATGCGACTAGTGTTTATATACTCCCCCCGCTCCTCTGACACTGGCGGCGACCTACACACATATGTAGATCTCCCTCAACCTCTTCCGGTCTTTGGCCCCCGAAGTCAACCCTCATGGGGATGCATTTGATCCGGATGAGGATGAGCCGGTTCTGGAGCCGGCCTGGCCGCATTTGCAGTTGGTATACGAGCTGTTTCTTCGGTTCATCGAGTCGGCCGACTTCAACTCCAAAATCGCCTCGCGCTACATCAACGAGCTCTTTATTCAGGAGGTGCGCACCGCGGGCGGCAACCCATGGCCCCATCTACTTGGCCTTACCCCTGCAGGACGCACACGCACCTGCATGCATCGCACGCACGCACGCACGCAGGCTTCTAATGCTCCCTCCTCCCTCCCCAGCTTCTTGCCCTTTTCGACGGCGAGGACCCGCGCGAGCGAGACTACTTGAAGACCACCCTTCACCGGATCTATGGGAAGTTCCTCCCCCTGCGGGCATTCATCCGCAGGGCCATCAACGACGTGCTGCTGTCCTTCGTCCATGAAACCGAGCGGCACAATGGTGTGGCTGAGCTGCTGGAAATCCTGGGATCCATCATCAATGGGTTTGCCCTGCCGCTCAAGCGCGAGCATGTCATTTTCCTGAAGCGCGTGTTGATCCCCCTCCACAAGGCCCGCGCCCTGTCGCGCTTCCACCCGCAGCTGGCCTATTGCGTGGCCCAATTCGTGGAAAAGGATCCCTCTCTGGCCGAAGTGGTATGTGTTGCCGGGGACAAAGCACCCCCCCCCCCCCCCCTGCCCAGGCGACCTCGCATCGCTCTTTAACCAACCACCCAGGCTGGCGGCGATGCCAGCCTGCCTTCGTGTACCACTTCGCCCGAGTGGCATTTCAGGCGCGTGAGGATGCCGGGGCCCCCGCCCCTCCCGGCGACCCGCACGCCGGAGGCAGGGAGCCTTTCCTGACACGTATGCCAGGGATGCATACTCCCGTCTATGGGGGACCAGCAGGGGGGGGGGGGGGCGGAGCCCAACCGGGCCCCGAGTGCAGCGGCATCCAGTCGGTCCGGAGGCGGCCGGAAGAAATTTGCTCCCAACACGCCCCCACGAATACGGCCCCCGGACGGGGGAGGGTGGGCGGGGAATTCGCTGTCCATCAGGCGGCGGCCCCTACCCTGGTTGCCGGGGCGCGCGCACGCAGGAGGAGGTCTAAGCGCGATGGGCGCGCCTGCCGGCCGGGCGCGCAAGCCAACGGGTGCGCGCTCTCTCTTTAATCACGGCCGCTTGAAAGGACGAAAAATTCGTCTTCTTGCAGTGTTTCCTCCGCGCCCCCCCCCCGCCCCCTGCCCTGGACGGCCTCTCACATACTTACATTTGCAGGGCGGGGGCGGGGGGGCGGGGCGACCGGGGGCGGGGTTGGGGGGTGCCGGGCCCGACCAGGGAGGGGCCTGGGTGCGGGAGCGGGAGACAGTCGCCTGTGCCCGTGTCTGCCGCGTACGCAGGAAGGGGGGGGGGGGCGAAGGCCGGAGGGCGTCCTTTTTCCCTCTCCAGGCCCCTCCCACCAGTAGGCGGGGGCCATCGCCGGCGCCGCCGGGGGAAGAGGAGCTCTTTCAGATTGCGATCTCATGTTCCCTGCGCCTGGTCCCGCAGTTCCCCATTGCTTTCCGAAGAGCCCTCCCACCCCCATCCCCTCGCGACCGTAATCCCATTCTCCGCCCCGCCTCCCTGCCTCCCGCCTGTCTCTCGCCTCGCTCCCCGTGCGCGCGCGTGTCCGCAGTCTCCTTTCCTCCCTCCCTCCCCGTGCCTGCCTGTACGCTGTCCTCAAACACCCTCGCCTCCGCCAGACTCCCCTGGTGGCGGCCTCCTCCCCGTCCTTCCGCTTGAGGTCAGCCCGCTCACTCTGCCGCCCCCTTCTTCCCCTCTCCCCGGTCACTCCTCCC